TATATAGAAAAAACCAAGTTATATAGTAATATTATTCAAAATCCAAACAGATATGAATATAACTACTAATAAAAAGTTTGGTATAATGAAATTTTGATGTTCTGAAAATTAAAACAAGAAAAATAGACAAAATTTTATAAAAATAATAGCAAAACATAAAAAACACAAAAAAAAAATGATAGAAGACACTAATTTGAAAAAAATATATAAATATAAAAGAGTTTATAAATAAAAATAAATACAATATAAAATTAAAAGATAGCAGACCTAAATAAGAAAGCAGAAGCTATTAAAATAAAAAAAAACAGAAAAAATCTAACTGCTATAGGCCAAAAACAAAAAAAATTAAAAAAAGAAATCAAAAATATAAAGAAATTGCAAGAGCAAATATTAGATATAGAAAGCATACTAAATCAAATAATAAAAAAATTAAAAATAGATAAAAAGAAGACATGAAAATCCAAACTGATTGCTTCTAAAAACATTTTAGTTAAACTAATAAGAATAGACAAAAAGCTTAATAATTTTTTATAAAAAAAAAGGAAATATTTGAAAAAAAACAATATCTTCTTGTCAAAAAGAAAAAAAACAAAAAAATTAGAAAACATAAAAACAGATTAAAAACTAATTAAGAGAAAAGTAAAAAAAATAAAAGAAAAAAATAAGAATAACATGTTATAATATTAATAAAATAAAAACCAAAGATTAGAAGCTTAAAAATATACTTGACTAAACAGAAAAAGAAAAACTTATAATATTAGAAATTACAAAAACAAATCTTATAAAAAAAAAAGAAATTCTTAAAACACAAAGTGACCAAAAGATATACAAAGTATTGGAAGAGTGTAACAGAAGACAAGAAAAAAGAATTAGATATAAGAATTTTGATAAAAGAACACTTAGAAAAACATATAAGAAGATAAATAAATATAATAAAAATTATATTATACTTCAAACAAAAAAAGTTAACATGCCTCACCATTAATATTAAAAAAAAAAAAAAAAAAAAAGTTAGCATTTATATACTACCAAATAACAAAGAAGTAGAAAAGAGTATTCAACAAAAAATAGTAAAGATTGTTTTTTTTTAAAAAAAGCAAACACAAGTAGTTATTATAAGTAATTTTAATTATACAGTAAATAATGTATTAAATAATAAAATTTACAAGCTGCAAACTTAATAAAATTGCTAATATTTAACTAAATAAAACAACAAGACTTCTATGATATAAACAAAAAAATATACTCAACTAAACAAAAATATACATAGCTAAATGCAGAAGTAATGACAAGAATTAACTATATATAAGTATTAGAAAAAACTAGCTTTAGGTCTACAAAAGGCAGAAATTGAAGATATAAAAGAAGTTACTAAAAGTAATGATTTGAATTGATTAAACCATAATCAAATAACCAAACCGAACTGAACAAATTCAAATAAACCAGTTAAGCAAATGCTTAACCAGTTAATTTGACATAATTAGTTATTCAGTTGATCTGGTTGACCTGATATAATCAGTTAACCTAATTAACATGATATAATTAGTTGATCTGATTAACTCAACATAATCAGTTGCCCAACATAATCAGTTGAACCAACATAATCAGTTGATCTGAATCTAATTTTTGTTGCTTGTACTCTTTCACTAATTTCTTTGAATAACTTACTTGTGATTGGTTAATTTTATATGTACAGTTGAATTTATATAGTTTAGAGTACTTTTATGTCTCAACATGATGATTTTTTTTTAATCATCATTCATAAAACACTTCATGAACAAAACTTTAAGTATTTTGGGTCTTTTTGGAATTTACTTCACCTAGACATACTTCACTTAGAGAACTTAAAAAAATATTAATAAGGTAATAAATGCATTATTTATTGTAAAATCGTATAGTTCTGTGCTTCTTTACTGCTATATTCAATGAAGATATTGAAAATAAAGCTTTATTAATTAAATTTTCAATATATAGAAGTACAAACAAGTGACACTAATAGTTTTAATACATTGTCTAAAAGTAAAATCTGAGATTAAAGAAATGGAGATCTATACACATATTATTATTATATTAGATGGTTATTAAAAATAGTTAAATAAGCTTTTTAAAGACAAGGACTGTGATATTTCAGAATAGTAACAATTTTGTAGAAAATTTTAAAGCCCAAAGAATATTTGAATAAAGAAAAAAATCATTCGAAAGCTTTACTAATATAAAAAATTTATTGAATTTAATTATTTTAAAAATTGTTCATTGAAATTTGTGAAATTTTATTTTAAATTTTTTTTTTGCTATGCTGATGCTGAGTATATTATATAAACTCTTAATTTTTAAAATATTAAGCACACATTTACTTAAAGTCGAAAAGCTAGTCATATTTTGATTTATATTTTTTCTTATATATATGAGAATTAGAAAACATATTAATAAAATTATCATTTTTTTTTAGAAATAACATTTGAGAGACTAATTTGGGTTTTAGATTAGAATATCGAGGGGTAATATAACTTCCAGCATCTAAAAAAATGCACTCACTGGGAACAGAAGTAGCAAGAACACTAAGATATTTTTTGGCTAGTTTTGAGACGATTGAAAATTGAACTTGGTGCTGTTGTCACTATAAGAGAGAATCTGCATCAGAAAAGGCTAATGGTGTCTGTCTAAAGTCAAGATAAAAATCTAATTCATCTGTAAATTCTTGTGATCTTTGAGCATTACTGAATATAAGATCCTTAAATATATTATTAGGAGAGAGATTTTTTAAGCTAGGTAAAGTAGCATGTTTATTTGATGTTGGTGATTATATATTCATTAGTTAATAAAGTTGAAATCTACACATTCATTAATAGTATTATTACGAGTTTCTTCATTTGCAAAAGTCATTTCTTTTAGCCAAGGGTCTAATAATGTTACAAGAAGGCAAATTTGTGATGGGTAATCCTAATATTCAAAAAGTGAGTTATATATGATATTTTGTATATCTTTTACAATTAATTCAGGGTCATTTTCAGACTGATTTTCTTGAGTATCAAAGGATATATTACTTTCATTTTTATTATCTGAAGAATCAGACTCCAAATCATAATTGGATGTTTTTTGGAGACCTAATGTAATTAATATTAAATATAATTGATAAGTATACATCAGTTAAAATTAAAAAAAATTAGTACTACTATATATATTTTTTAAGATTATTTTTAAAACAAAGACACTTTGATTATTATTTGACATGCCAAATTTTTTGTTGTAAATAATCATGAAACATAATAATCATGAAATCTAAAATTCTTATTTTGCTAATTACCTTAACTCTAACCATCAGATATGTTAATTTTAGTATCAGTCAATTTCATGATCATACATGATATTTTTTAATTTTAACTACTAATATTAAAATTTTATACCTTCAGCATTATTATAGTCATATTCATTAGGATCTATATTTTTTGCATAATAAACCTTTATTGCCTTCATTAATAAATGAATATACACTATAATACAATATCGCTCAGCACTAAAATATTCAGTAGCACTGTTGAAAAGTTCTAATATTTCAATCAATCTTTTAACAAAATCCCATTCATTATCTTGCAGTATCAATTTGTTTAATTTTTGACCATCTTTTTGTGCATCTGGATCATCATCAAGAGGCAATGTCACTGAAAGCTGTCTGATTGCAGGGTGCAGCTCAATTAACCTTTTTCATGATCAAAATTTGGAATTCCAATAGGTTGGTATATTTTTAATGATTCGCAATATAGGTACAAACTTATTAATAGTTATTTGATTATTGGCTATTATTTCATTACCCTTCTCATCTTCAAAATTACTATTATTTTCAGATTCATCAGATGAATTTGAGTTATTACAAAACATTTTTTTCTGTTTTTTTTTTTATATGCTTCAATTTGTGCAGTGTCTAATCTTTGACTTTGTTTAGGTGAATCAAAAAATTTAACCAAATTTTGTATATGGATAATTTGTTGACACTGTGGCTTAAATGCATGATTAATTGATAATTGTAAGATATGGGCTGTGCATGACAATCTTTCTACACTCTCCCAATTTCTTATAGCCCTTACTATGTTATTACCATTATCAGTAACAATACAAAGAATTTTATTTTGTAAATTAAATTCTTGGGCTTTATTGATAAGAAATTCTTTAATAGCATGACCAGTATAAGAGTATAGCATTAACTCTAAACAAAGTAGGATTTTATTTAATTCAAACTGGTTATTTAACCAGTGAGCTGTTATTTAATGTATCCTGTTTTATTTCTTGCTGTCCAAAGGTCAGTTGTTAAAGAAATTGTTTCACTACTTTGTGCTAAAAGATCATTGATTTGGTTTTTTGCAGTTATATTTGCAATGGATATTTCTTTTTTTTAATGTCTTATAAGAAGGCTGATGAAAGGCAGGGTCTATTTGCAACATAAATCTATAAAACCCTTCTCTGGTGATAATTTCAAATGATCGATTGTTAATCACAAGCCATTCTGCAACAGCATGACAAATATTAAGCTTTTTAATTCCTTTGTGAAGAACAACACATTGTAGTATACTAGTGATAGTTTGCTGGGAACCTTTTGTATTGCTCTAAAATTTAAATTTATTGACTAAATTTTTTACATTTATTTTTTATTAGATAAAAACATAATTATTTATCTGGTTTTTTTGAAATTCCACTATGTCATGTTTGTCTGCAAGATGTAAATTCTTGTTGGATGTAGACCATCTGGGTAGATACTTAAATTTTTTTTCACAGCTCTTTTCTTTTCCATTTATTTTAATTTTAACATCACATACTGATTCTTCTTCTTCTACTTTAAAATATTTCCAGCACAGTGCAGGTTGTTTATTTGTTTTATGATGTTGCTTGTGTTTTTTTAAATTAGTTTGGGAATCTTCAGTTTGAAAATTATCTTTTTCTAACACATCATTAACTTCTAGCAAATTTTCAGTCTGTGAAGTTTCTTCAGATTCAATATCTGACATTGCTATATCTTTTAAACTAATATATATCTTTAGGAATAAAATTGTCAAGTGAAAAACAAAAGCATGAAGAATTTTAAGTTACAATTTATAGCTATTTGTGAGCTGGTTTATTAATTATATTGTCTTTGATATAATATTTTATCTTCTATATTAAATACTAATAAAAACTATTATGCTTAAAAAATCAGGTCTATAGCTTATTTGAAATATCAATAATGTATTGAATGCTACTTTAGATGCTGTCTATACATATGCACTGATATGCTTTTTTTTCAGGAGATAATATATAATGCACTATGTGAAATAATTATTATTTAATAATTAGCTTATTTGGATAGAGATCACCTATTAGACAATAATATCAGCATTTAAAGATTGTATTCTTTGTTCTGAATCCATTCTGCCTGTTGTAGAATTTGATAGCAAAATGAATCTACAACTTATTTCATTAATGCATATAATTCTCATTCAAATGCTATTGATGAAATTTATATTACTATTTAATAATTTTTTCAACAATAAGTTCTGGTTTGAGATTGCAGTTTAAATTTGTTTATTTAAGTTATTTGTTTTTAAACTATAGACTTATAATATTGTTGCTCACTTTCATGAAAATGACTTTCTGAAATGCTATTTCTCTGACTTCACAAATCCAATATCTCTTTTTCCCATTAGGATCCGTTTTGGATCCGTTTATTTCACCAACAATTAATTTATCGATGGCTTATTTTACTGACATAGTAATTCTGTTTAGGTTAGGTAGAATTAGAGTTAAGGTTATTAAAAAAAACTTGTCAGCAAAATAAGCTTGTCAGTTAATTTTTGATGAATAACACAGACCTATTTCTGTTCTGTTAGTAAAATGGATTGTCAGTATTATAACTTCGGTGAAATGGTATTTTAGAATAATCGACTTCGAGAAGTCAACTTGGAATCAGCTTATGATTATTAAGTAAAAGCATTTAAAATAAAACATGTACAGTTAGGTACTTTGTTTTAAAAGATTATGAATAAGAGTTGAGATCATAAAATTATAGAGTTCAAGTACTGTATTGTGTGAAATAATGCCTATGGCATTATTTTGGAACACGAGCTTGGGGTGAATTCTTCTTAAAATCTTTTGTTAAATTCTTGGTTCGAATTCAGATTCTGAAATAATGCATATGAGTGTTATTTTGTGCAAATATAGTGCTGGAAATTATTATGCAGGGTCATCATTAAAAGTGACTTATGCAAGGTTATTTAGAACCATTAACACATTATTTAGGTGAAGTTACTGATTTATCCTGAAGATCACCTACCAGCAATGATATCAACATTGAAAGGTTGTGTTCTTTGTTTGTTCTGAATCAGTTTCACATAGTTTTAGTATTTGACAGCAAAATTAATCTGCAACTTACTACATTAATGATATAATTTTCATTCAAATGCTACTGACACAATTCATATTATGGTAATTTTATAATTTTTAATAATAAGTTCTAGTTTGGTTTGGTTTAAACTTAGTTATCTAAGTTATTTGTTTTTTAATTACAGGCTTATGATGATTAAGTCAAATGTCTTATAAAATAGTTTTTTTGTAAATGTGCACAGTCAAGTATACTTTGTATGAAAGATAATGAATAAGAGTTGAGATCACATAATTAGAGAGTTTAAGTATTGTATTTGTGCAAAATAATACTAAAATTTCGAGACACGAGCTTGAGGTAAATGTAAATCATAATTTTTTGTTATTAAAGTTTTTGGTTAAAGGTCATCTTAAACTCATATTCTGAAATAACAGCTATAAGTGCTATTTTGTGAAAATACAATACTGGAATTTATTATGCAGGTTATTGTTAAAGTAATTTATGCAAGATTATTTAGGATCATTAACACATGATTTATATAAGAGTTACTAATTTTTTCTAAAAATCACCTACCAGACAATGATATGTATCAGCATTTAAAGGTTGTATTCTGGATTAAACCTACATGGTCTTAGTATTTTGATAACAAAATAAATTTACAACTTACTACATGATTTTTGTTCAAATGCTATTGATGAAATTAATATTGTAGTAATTCAGTAATTTTTTAATAATAATTTCCAGTTTAGTTTAGCTTTTAAATTTGTTTTATATTTTTAAACCACAGGTTTATAATGATTAAGTTAATTTTTATTCATAATATTTCAATCAAAGTATACCTAACTACAACAGAGTTACTATTAAAAGTAGTTTATACAAGGTTCTCAAAGAAGTGATTTACATGAGTTTATTTAGACTATTAATGCAATTACTAATTTTTCAATAAGGTAGGCAATGTGCATATATGTGCATATATGTTTCTTTTTTTTTTTTGCATGCTAAGCAATATCAAGAAAAAGTCTGAATTCAATATTATAAGATTTATCTATTTGAAGTCTAATTTTCCCTTAGTTATTTATCTTGTATGCATATATATGCATATTATATATTTCAGTTCACTTTAACTGGCAATTTACTCTATTTCGAGGTTTATTAATATGTAATAAAACTTATATCAAAATATTGCTAGAAACTTTGTTATTAATGCACAAAAAGATAATTTACAAACAATTTTTAAGGTAATCTTTCTAATTCTTTTTGTTTAACAATATACTGAAGTTTGAATTTTTTAAATTTGATCGATGGTATGTCCTGAAACTTGTAACACTAGATAATAAATAGATACATTTAGTAAAAATTTAAGAACTTAATAAGCTCTGAAGTATAGTTGTTTATACTTAAAGAATCTTCGACTCTATATTAAGAATTAATGAACTAATTTATAAATCTATAATGCTATACCCTTATGACAGAAGTAAATAAACTTGACTTCAAAGTTGTAGCAAAGCCTTTTTATGTAGATCAATACCAAATAAATTACTAGCTAGTATCATATTTTGAGAAATAAAAACCCTGATATATTATAAAATCTTTAATTATACCCAGGTAAATATAACTAGCATTTAGATTTAAAATATTAGAAGTATATTTAAGTTCTAATATGCTTTCATTTGTTTTTACTATTCTTAGCTCATCTTGAAGATTTTTTGAATTTACCAAGATTGGGCATTTGATTATATTTAATATGAGGATTGGTCTATAAAAATGTCAGTCTGGGAATTTGAGAATTCTCTGATTGCTTATAAAAATAATTAATCGTTTAACCCAATTATAATATAAAAAAATTAATCATTTTTATGATCAATCAGAGAATTCTTAAGTCCTCAGACTAACATTTTTCTAGATCAGTTCTCATATCATCTATTACTTTGATTAGTAAGTCATGATTAGCATTAACCTAATCAACAAGCATTCAAATGTATCTGCTAAAGTTGGTGGTTCTTTCTTGGAGTTTCAAGATCTATATTTTTACTTCTAAACAAGGAACATACTGGGTATTTCATATTTTTTTTTATAATGACCTTATAGAGATTATGATGATTATTTATGCAAAATATACATATTTTGCACAAATAGTTATCGTGATCTCTATAAGGTTATTTATAAAAAAGAGGACATGTGTAGTGATTTTTGAAATAATCAGTATAATGGATTTCCTAGTGATTATAATTTGAACACTTATTGTGTAACATTACAGTTGATCTAGAGATATTCAATATTACATTTGGGCTTAATTTCAGACAATTTAAATATTTTTTTCTATTTATTACTTAAATGTTTTTAAATTAATATGTTCAAAATATTTATTTATACTGATTATTACAGAGTTACTTATATTTCTGGTCAGTTAAAATTCTTTAAGAGCACATTTGTTCATTTTGTTATATGTTATTTTATTTTATTTTTTTGTTATAGGATTCAATGATCCTAAGTGTATCATTAGGATTCAAAATCTTTTGCTTGTGCCCTATAACTATTAATGTTTGAATTATAATTATTCAAGATTGAAACATTGTTGAACCATATTAATGATTTTTTGAAGTCTCTGTATTATGTAAGATAATATATAAATCTTATTTTATTTATTTATTTATTTATTTAATTTTATTTTTTATTTTATTTTTTTTTGCTATAGCAGTATCGATCAAGTTTTTTTTCATTTCAATAAATACAAATTTAACTTACACAATGCTCTTTAAATTTGTTATATTAAGAAACTATTCAGGCACTCTTCTGCTCATGTATGATTTTATATTATGACTTGAGAAACTATATATATTAAGCTACAAACCTCTAAGTGCATGTTCTTGGGTCAAACTCTAATAATATGCACTTAGAGAACAATGTATTTATAAAGAACATATATATAATTGGACCTGAATTTTAGAGAATGTGCACTTGTAGAAGGTGCACTCAGCATTGGCATTAGACATATGCTTGATAATTTTAAAAAGAATTGAACATATATGCTCAATGTTTTTCAAAACTGTTGAACACATGTTCAATACCAAAATTGGATGCACATATGGAAGTTTTATGCCTATCAAATATGAGTGCTGCAAAGTGAAAAGTTGGAAGTGAATATTTAAGTTCTCATCATAGTAAATTTAGCCCCTAAAGAACTTTGATATTATGTACTGATAAACAATATTTTGATAGTTCAGTAACAATAACAATACATTCATATGATATTTTACTAAACAACTAGGACATTGATTATATATATGGTTGATTATGTGCATCAGAATTCACAAGACTAAATGAGCTAAACTCATCATAATGAAAATTTAAATATTCACTTCCAGCTTTTCACTCTGTAGCACTCATATAATTAGCCTTTTTAAGCACCTCATTCATAATTGACTAATGTTATAACCTATTAAAGCAGTTGATTATAGGCATTACATGCAATTTCCATAAGTTTTAATAGTTATACTGCATAAAGTGTTTGATCAGTTTAGGTTTCAAGTATAATTGGCCATATTAATATATATTAACAAAGAATTAAATCAGCATCTGGAAAGCGTGTACCAATTTTGTGCAGGTGATGTAAACCAAATTTGATTAGGACAATTTAGGGTTTTTATATAATTTGATATTTATCCAGATTTCAAACCCAATTTGAACCCAAAATCTTATCGTTCTTTTTTATATGTTTGGTACAATTGTTAAATCTAGTAAAACACCAGGAGTCTACTGATTCCAAACTACCAGTGTTGTTCTATGATTAATTTAATTATAATAGAAGTTGATATGACTTTATGATCTTTTTAATAAAATTTTTTTATTAGCATTATTAGCATTTAATTTGACCAAGGTGTTTTATGTTCATAAAGTTACATAATTATATGATCAAAAAAATGTGATTTGGATTATCAGTCAACACTGCATACCACCAGGTTGAGTTTACATCTCTTGGTGTACTATACTGACTAAATAGGCTTTAGAGTTTCTTACTAATTTAATGTATTATAGCTTAATTGTAGAAAGTTCTAATTTCTCTTAATAATTTATAGTATATATATGCAACAATATACTTGTTACCTATTTGACAATTCCAGTCTTTCACTTATAATTTTTATTTGATGAATCAAATATCATTTGTCAGTGTTATTACCAATCTGAACTATATTTTCTGAAAGGTTATATTTATAATAAATCGATCTAAAAAAAAATAATTTTAATAGCATTAACCAGATTAGCTTGGTTAACCTGAATAATTCAGTTGATCCAGTTAATTCAGTTGGTTCAGTTAACTCGATTAACTTAATTGACCCAACTAGTTCAGTTGACCTAGCTAATTCAGTTGACCTAGCTAATTCGGTTAACCTGACTAATTCGGTTAACCTGGCTAATTTGATTGACCTAGCTAATTCAGTTGGCCTGGATCAACTGATCTAACTAAAATAATATAGTTGAGCCGATTGTATTCAGATAAGTTAATTTGATTAACCAATTAGGAATTTTAGTACCTGGTTCACATCATTAGATGTTTAATAAGGTTTGAGTCTGTAACTATTTGGTCAGGAAGTTTGATGTTAGAAAAGTGAATAAAAGCTTTATAGTGATTAAGAATGCTATTAATAGCATGTTTGAGATGTGTAGAAAGTGTTTCACATCTTTTTTTAGTAGCTTATTAAATTTGTTGTCAAAGCAAAAGAGAGTTTTCAAGATAATGAGCATGGTAGAGTTGTTTTTAAATATCTTGTGCATATTGGATCTATTGGTTGAGTTGTGAATGTTAATGAGAGGTAAAGATATAAATGTTGTACTAAGATCTTAAATTGATATTTTGAATTCTTGAATTAATTTGATTAATGTTAAGGTTGTTGTTAGGATTTTTCAAAATTTTGATTAAGTGACCAAGTTCTTTAAATGATAAATGAAGTAAGGTACTGTAAGGAAAGTATTGGTAGAATAGTTCAAAATTTTACT